TCTTCTAACTATGGAAACCAGGGGGACACCCTCCTTCGTCAGTATAGGCCTGCAGCTCAGCTCCTCCCAGGACTTAAAGTGAAAGGAGGTTAGATTCCAAGACAGCAGCTACAGCCTTGCCAGTTCCCAGATCTCCTCTCAGATACACTACTTGCTCTTGAATCCTTGACTAAGGGTCTGCTTTGCAAAAACCCAAACCAAGACATGCAGTGACAGCCTATTGCTTCTTGGCTCCTCCTGCATCTGGAGTACCATTCCTGGAAGGCCCAACTCAAGGGCCACATTCTCCCCAAAACTTACTCTGACCTCCCCCCTCAGAAATAACTGCTCCTTCCCCTGAGCTATTTGTTTCTTTCTGTTTTACACAAGGCAGAAGGGCCAGTCACTTTCCTCTCTGGTGCTATGGTCTGAATGTTTGTGTCCCCCAAAATTCCTATGTTGAAATCTTAACCCCCAGGGTGTGGTATTGGAAGGTGGCGCCTTTGGGGGGTGATGAGGTCATGAGGGTGGAGCCCTCATGAAAGGGACTAATGCCCTTCTAACAGGGACCCCAGAGAGCTCTCTCCCTTCTTCTGCCATGTGAGGTTATAGCAGGAAGATGCCATCTATGAATCAGGAACTGGGCCCTAGCAGACTCAGAATCTGCCTTGATCTTGGACATCCCAGCCTACAGAACTATGAGAAACACATTTTTGTTTCTAAGCTGCCCAGACTGTGTGGTAATGTAGCAGCCTGGACGGACTCTAAGATCAGGAGCCAGGCCTCTATGTGATCCCTTGAGCGCTGAGCATGTGCTCCAAGAGCAGAAGGTGCTCCCATTCGTCTGATGAACTGAGAGAAAACAGCCCCCTGACCCAAAAGGAGCAGAGAAGGAAGGATCTGAGGGTACAGGGAGCCAGGGCGCAGCATGCCTCCAGAAGACTCGCTCCACCTTCCCCTATCAACCAGAAGCTGCACTTTCAAGGAACCTTCACTGGAATACAAAGGAAGCCCTCCAACTCCTTCTCCTGCCAACAAGCCAAGAGACCTCTCTGCTTAATGAGAAATCTCTCCTGGCATTTCAATTTGCATCAAATTTAAGGCTTATTTTATAAAGGCCGCCAAAGAATATCTCTTCTTCTTAAAACTTCCCATTTATCCAAGATGAGAAATAAAAGGCACCTGAGAAATTAGGTCAGGATAAATGGGGATGAAAAACTTTCAATTGCCTGAAACGAGCATGCATTTCCTGGGCAGATCCATGGGGCCTCCCCATGGGGCAGGTTACTTAATAACAGGCCGCAGTGGGTGGGGGAAGGCCTCAAAGAAGCCACATGCACTTAGCTGATGAAAACTGTCTGGAAAGGCCTTGGCAGAAAGACTCTGAAACCTTTAAGACTGTTAGTTAGCAAAGGTGTGGTGAGTTGTTAGTAGAGTCAAGCTGGAGAGCTGAAAAGGGGCAGACTACCTGGAGATCTAATGCCAACCAAGGGAGCCGGCCAGGCACCACTGTTGCTGAAAAAATGCTACATACCCAAGGCTTCATCTACCAGTCTTCTCGTATGTTAAATATAACTTGCTGTTGTTTTCCCTAATGTTCTCTGCTAGAGAGATATAAGTGAGAAAGCAGAGGTGATATTTTTATAATAAGACCTTGCTCTTACCTTTCCGTAAGTTCATGGAGAAAGACCATGAATAAACAAACACAGCTAGTCTCCATCTGACTTAGCAGCCTCCCTCTGCCAGGGCTATGAGGCACCAGTCAAGGCCAGGAAAGCAGAGCTGTGCCTGTCATTAGGTGAGGCTGAGCCAGGAGGAATTCTCCAGGAGGCGCTGCAGTGGTCCCGTGGCTGACCCCACCATTCACCAACTCCAGGGCTGGTCCACGCCAGCCACACACCTTCCAGTTCTCTTGCCAGGGGTTAGGTTAGGTCAGCCCATCTCAAACCTGGAGGGTTGTTAACTGTGGATGCTGGGCTCCACACTCAGAGCTTCTGATGTAGCTTGGGAACCTGCATTTCTAACAAGTGCCTGAGTGCTCCCGGCCCAGGAACCACACTGCATGAGCCACAAGTAGCGAGCCAGTTGTGATCAGTGAGAGAAGACTATGGCAAGGGACTTCTGGGGACGGCTTCTTTGCTTCTAAGGACACTAGAGCAGACGACCGTCTTCATCCTCTGGACCACTTGTGATGATGGAGATGTTCTTTAATCTCCTCTGTCTAATATGGTACCCACTAGCCATAGGTGGCTATGGAGCACTTGAAATGTGGCTAGTGTGACTGCTGAAACCAGTGATTTAAATCTTATTTCATTTTAATTCGTTTGAATTTAGATAACCACCTGTGGCTGGTGACTCCCATAATGGACACTGCAGCCCTGGACACTGTCAGCTCTAGATGTGGTGGCTGAACTGCTACTAGATCCCCTACCATCAGCCTGAGAGGAGGACACCACACAGAGGATCGCAGAGCCACATCCTGGGCTCTCGGCCTAGCCTCAGCGCTTCCTGCTGTGTGAGACCACACATGACTTTGCTGTTTAAGGCAGTGTGAGCAGGTATTCCCTACTGCTGCAGCCAAAAGCCTTCTGGCCAATACAGCCAGAGAACATTCAAGTAAGCCTGCAGAAAAATGGGGCTACTCACCCCAAGGGCAATGTCAACTGCAAGCAGAAGAGCAAGAGAAACAAAACGTGGCTCCCAATGACTTGAAGAGGGTTTGGCCTGAAGGGATGCACCCAGGTCTTTCAGCCTTTGAGATCTGGGCACAGATACTGAGGCTTGGCCTGCTACAGGAAGCACAGCAGAACTCTGTCCTCTGCCTGCTGACAAGTATCTGGGGACACTGTTGGCCCTGCCGTCTCAGGGGCCCAACCAGCTTCAGAAGTGTAGAGAATCAAATGGTAGGTCACTGACAAGATGCTTCCTCCAGAGTAGGTAAAGGTACAGCTGCACAAAAAATATCTTCCTACTGGGGCTTGAAATTCCACATTAACAATCCTCACTGTGGTTTAAGCAACACCCCTCTGTGGAGTCACCTTTGAAAATGGAAATACTCCTAGGAAAGGTACCGCTGTAAGCCTTGAAGCGTCACTGTAAATGAATTTGTCAGGTATCAGTTAGATTAGTGTACCTTGTTTGCAAGAGGCACAGGGAGCCGGAAAGGGTGAGGCACGAGAGAGGCAAGAGGTGCACTCAGGGCTCAACCAGGTCACTGTTTTACAAAGTCCCACCTTGCTGCTCTCCTTATCCTGACTGCCCCACCCCTACGCTTCCTGAAAGCTAGTCCCAAGTTCAAAATTTGGACAATCCCACCATTGAACAAATGTGTCTCACCGACCCAAAACAGAAAAGACGAAGTAATAAAGACTGTCAGGCGCTCTGAATCGTGGTTCCCGAAGAGTCCTCCCTGAACCCTAGATAGGATGAGGACTTTGTCCCCCAAAAAGATGTTGAAGTCCTAATCCCCAGTAAATGTGAATGTGACCTTATTTGGAAATACGGTCTTTACAGATGATCAAGTTAAGATGGGGTCACACTGGAGTAGGGCGGGCCCCTAAATCAATATGACTGGTGGCCTTTGTAAAAGGGGAAATTTGGAAACAGACACACAGGAAGAACATTATGTGAACACGGAGGCAGAGATATGAGTGATGCATCTACAAGACTGCCAGCACACCACCAGAAGCCTTCAGAGGAGGTGTGGCCTTGCCAACACCTGGATCTCAGACTTCTGGCCTCCAGAACTGTGAGAAAATAAATTTCTGTGATGTAAGCCACTCAGTTTGTGGTAGTTTGTTATGGTAGCCCTAGCCAATGAATGTGGTAGCCCCTACTGGTACCCATCTTCCCTTCTCATCACTCTGACTTCATTTACTGTGCTTACTCATTTAACCGTCTCCCCCATAGGCCCTAAGATCCACAAGCCCAGGGACCGCATCTGCCTATTCACCACTAAGTCCCAAAACCACTTCTGGCACACCAGAGGTGTTCTGTAAGTGTTAGTCAAATTAACACAGGAAAGGTCTGCCTCTGGCTAGTTCTGGAATCTCTGGCATGAGACTCCCCTCTCTGGCTGTCAATTTCCCCATCTGTCTATATGGAGGAAAACAAAACAATTGGACCAGATGACCTCTGTGAGCGCTCCTGACTCACAAACTCCTGGACTCACACTGAAGGTGTATCCATCCAACAAGGTGAGGTCAGGACATCAGAAACTGCACTAGGGGTGTTAAATAGAGGGCACAGAACACAGCGGGTGGGCCACAGAGGTGGGGGAAGGCTGGAAGTCTCTGACAACCTTTCTGCTGGGACGTCTTTAGTGAATGAAAGAAGGACCAGCCTCACACTACAAACTTCTGGAAACATCCATTTCAGCATGAGCTGGCTACTCCTGTCCTCAGGGCAACACACTGCCCAGTGGGCTGTTCCTACTTACAAAGGACAGTCCCAAAAGGGGCCAGTCTCATGGACGAGTACTATAAGGCCTTGGGTTGGGGGCAATAGGCTCACTGAGAAGTCCTATGTCCTGAAAAGGTAAAGAAACAGCAAAACACGTGCCTCCCCAGCACCCACCTCCCTTCTAACCCAGAGCCAGATTTCTGCCTCCTCCGTTAAGAGGATCTATTGCCGATGAGAGAAAATGTGAATGGAATCAACAAAAGATGACCCCATGGGGCTGGCTAGCAACTGGAAGAGAGAACAAGGCAAACTTCTGTGTGCCAGCAATGCTCTCTTTCTTGACTTGGTTAGGATTTCATGAGTGTTTCCAGTTTATGAAAATTTATAAAGTGGCACACATGATAGGTGGCCTTTTGTGCATGTATGCTATACTTTAATAAAAAGTTAAAAAAAATAAATAAATAAATAATAATAATTAAAAAAAAGATGACCCCATGAACGATCTGACAGGTGAGGCCAACTTCCCATCCCACAAACCCAGGGCTGCCCCAGCTCACACCCAGAGCCTGACCTGCCCAGTGTCCTCCAGTAAGGAGAGTGCCCGGGAAGGTGGTACTCACCCACACTGCTGAGGGAGCTGCTGCTTTCTGAGTCTGACGGCATGATGGACAAGACACTGTAGGTGGAGCCTGGGGACAGAAGGGGAGATCATTTATTACTAACCCCAAAGGGCACTCTTGTGTATACCCCAAACCACGGCAGACCAACTGATCTTCAGTCAACACCAGGCTGAGAGCCCATATCACACCAGGGCCTAGAAATCCAATCCCAGGGGCCAGGCTGGGGAGGGGCAGTCAGCAGGGTCTAGGCTGTGGTGTGTCTGCCTCCTGACCTTTCCGACCCCCTCTTGCTCTGGAGACTGATTGACCTAAAGGCAGAGGGGAACCTGGAGTGAGCCAGCTGGCTTCTGGCTGGGACACCTGGGGCAAGGCTCAGCAAAAGAGCAACAGGCCCAGGTTAAAACGAGGTCTGGGGATTTCCTACAGACATTTGTCAATATGATCCTGGCTTCCATGCAGAGATGGGTGTCAACAGGGGAGAGGGAGAGGAGGAGGGAAACTGATGGTGGGGGAGACCATCAGGGGGACAGTAGAGACCCTGAGGGGAAGGGGAAGACTTCGGGGGAGGAGATGGAGATCACACATGGAGGGAAGAGAGCCAGTGTGCAAGTAACCTAGCAGTGTGCCCACCAAAAAAGAGATGAAAGGAGAGAGAAAACAAGAAAAAAGGAACTTTGGTAATGGCAAGAACTAGGACAGCGGCCAGGAAGAACCGGTGGCCTCATTATGGAATTTTCTGAGGCTGTGAAGAGCCTGCGGGTGTTTAGTGTGGACTGAAGAGGGTGACCAGGGAAGCCGGCAGGGGTTTCGTCTTCAAATAGGACTGTCAGAAGGGATTCAATTTGTCTGACATGGCCTCCTCCAGCAGCAGAACTGGAAACAGCAGGTAGATGCTGAACATGCCGCAGCTCTAAACAGGTCAGGAGGGCCCAAGAGACCTGGGGGGAGTGGGGGGGCAACACACACATTCACCTCCATGCACACCTGGCAGGGACATCACAGGGGGGACAGGCACATCATTTGAAAGGACACAAAACCAGAAAACCCCATTCAGCCCCGAAATTCCTTGATCCTACTCAAAAATAAATAAGCAATGTTCAATGAAATACCTCCCGTATTTCAAGATCAACCCACATGATTCATTTTGCTGTCCAACATCTCTGCACTTTTGTCTCAACGAAAGAATGAGCATCACAAATTTCTCAAATCATCTCTCTTCCCACATCATAAATGTTAAGGGTTGGTTAAAGATCTGTGAAAAACTCAGATGCAATTCAGACAAATTCATTGATATCTTCAAAAGACACCAACACAACACAGTGCCTATCTTCTGAACTCAATCACCATTTTCTTAAGTTTTTTTTCCCTTTATAGGGGCAAGGAAGGCTAGCCGGCTGGTATGTGGATGGACTGTTTTCAAAAGACACCTACTCAGAAAAGCAGGCACAAATAAACTCTCCCACTCACATCTTCGAAATCTCTGAGCTCAACCCAAGCTTGCTTCCAACACCGCAGCCTGTGTCCGGGAGACGCTCCCTGCAGGACCGCCTTGCTTGTTTCTCATGGGCATCAGCAGCGCCCCATCTTCCAGTAAACCGTACCTCCCCTTCACATCATCTCTCCTCCCTCAGGGCGAGTTTCCACTGTTAATTACACTCGGCAGACAGCCCTCTCTCTCTCCACCACCTCCCTCCCCAGCTAGGGGAGTCAACTGGCCAACCAACATTCTGTTCCTCTTCCCTGTCCCAGAAGTCCTGCCAGGGCTCTGGGGCCTGACCCAGGGGCGGCATGACATCTTTATCTGCATCTCTGGGCATCATCACCCCCCAAGTCGGCTGGCAGAGCTCCTGGGACCTGGGGATGGGGGCTGGGAGGGAGCAATTAAAATTGGACAGGGCCCAGTTTTTACCATGTTCCCAGGGCCTTAGACGTCATTCAGGGGGAAAAAAGTCCTCAAGACGACATTGTCGTGGTCATGCTTTGTCTCTGCAGCTATTGTTGTCTTAAAAAGCCTGTGTGGTCAAGACTGTCAGGAAAAGGCAAAAGGAGTCGCTCTCCTCCAAGTCACGCGGCATCCTTTCAAAGCTGGTGTACGGCATCATCTACCTCTGGGGTTTCACAATCGAACCTGGAGGCCAACAGGAGTAGAGTCTCACCAGTGCACACTTCCCGGCCCCTCCCAGCCCCTCACTCTTGGTCACATTGGAGATGTTTCCCCAGGAGCTCCCCTGAAGGCACCTGTACCCACCTGCCCTGAAACCTAAGGCACACCCTCTACTTCAGAGAGGGCCCAGGACTAACAAAGGCTAACAGATCAGCCTGGCTCCCCCACCAGACGCACCCCCTGGGCACTGCCCCCATTCCCTCCCCGTCCACGCCCCCCACCACAGGGCAGCAGGGCACTGGAGGCTCAAGATGCTCCCCACAAACTCAGGAAAGCCTGTGCAGAGCTCCTGAGAGGACCTGGAGAAAGCTGGATGATCTGGAAACACTTCCAGAAAAGGAGTGCAAAGAATAAGACCAGGTTTTCGTGGACGTGTGGACTGGAGAGAGACACACAGCAATTATCCAGGGATCTGGTCAAAGTGCAGGCTCTGACTGGGAAGACTGGGGGGCCTGAGACTCTGCATTTCTACCAAGCACCCAGGGCATGTGGTCCACAGGGATGCAAACAGAAGCTATGGGAGAAGCCCTGGGAGAGAGCCAGCAGACTCTCCGGGCATAGTCTCTGGGACCAGCCTGGGCCACACATTGTCTTGCGTCCTTCCCGAGAGCCCGGCGGGCCCTGCTAATTGTGTTTACCCTGTGACTCAGCCCCACTGGGTCACAGAGACCACTTCAAAAGAACTTCCAGTAAAATCACCCAAGCAGTAACGGAATGCCCCAGCCCTCCCAAGGCCCCCTTCCACAGCCTGTGGGGACAAGAGAGATAGAAGCATGTCCCCTAACACATCCCTCCATTCACCTGGAGCTTGTAAAGGCCCGAGTGACTCACACTTCCTCCCCATGAAACCCACACGCTAGAGGGGCTTGCTCCAGCCTTGAGCCAGCATGCAGAGTCCTCCCTGTGCTCCAGGAGGGCTAGGAGGCCGGCTCTTGCACTGCCCTGAGACAGCTCTGGCGACCTGAGACAGCTTTGGCTGCAGGAGGTCATGCCCCCCCACAGTACCTGGGAACGGGGAGGAAGGCGGCAAGCTGTATTCCCTGAGGGCTCTGGCAGGGAGGTGCTCCCTGGCCTAGCCAGAAGGCAGCACCAGGGCACCTGCCAGACCCTGGTCCCCTCTCCTAGCTCACAGCTGAGGAACACGGGGTTTGTACTTGTACTCACAGGTGGGCATCAGGTTCCCATGGCGCACCTGAGCCCCGCATAGCACTGAACCAGGTCTGGTAGAAAGCAGACAAGCCAAGGCTAAGGAGGGTGCTCACCTACTGTGAGACTCCTTGAGGTCCCTTCCCCTCCCTGAGCCTGAGGCCCTCATCTGTAAAACGAGGCAGTAGTGACTAGAATATCGACAGTGCATCCACCTGCCCAGGTTCAGCTCCCAACTCTGCCACTAAGCAGCTGTGTGCCCTCAGGTAAGTCACTCAGCTTCCCCCTGCCTCCCCTGCTTATCTGTAAAATGGGCTAAAGAGGAATACTTAGCTCCTAGAGGATCAACTCTGAGTTAATAGGAAAGGGGCCTGAAGCAGCACTTGGCCCGGCCAGCTCTAAGTGTTAGCTGCTGCTATTATGGTCACCAGACCTTCCAACCTGTCGCTCTCAATCTTCGATTACCTAAATTGAAGACTAGACTAGAGTGATGAAGTTGAACAGTCCACGATGACAAAGTGCTGGAGAGGATACTCAACAGGCAATGCGAGCTGAGCCAGGCATGGAGACTAAAGTTGGGAGGCAGAGACGGCTTCACATGAAGTCATGGCTTCACAGCCCTGACATGCGCTGCTGCTTCCCACCCACCCCAACACCCATGCCCGTGCTGGAGCACAGGCAGGTCCCTGAGCGTGGGCGCCCTCACTCAAGGGCCCTTGACTCCATGAGCTGCAGAGACGAAGAAGGAGGCAGGAGAGCGAAAAGTGCTGTGCCCTGGCCACCTCTTGCCAAGCCACCTCCCCTGCTTCTATGACCTCGGGAGATGCTGGGAGGGTGGGCTCCTTTGGCTGCTAAGAAGCCCTCTTGCAGAACCACGGTTCTGTGCAGCCATGCCCCTCCCTAGAGCCTCAGCCTCCTTCCCTTTAAAAGCATGGCCCAAGGCTGTGGACACTGAGACCCAAACTTGGAGGCTGACAAGCCCCACCATTTCAGGGAGTTATGGGGTGACCGTGGCCTGGGAATGGGACAGCCAAAGCTGGATGCATCAATCAAGGAAGTCTTGCTTTGTGCCCCCTACACACCCACCTCAGAGTGGGAAAATCACTTTCCCCCTAACATGCACAGGGAGGCTGGTGACACAGAGGAGGCCTGCTGCTCACTTAGGGGCAGGTGAAGATTCTCCTGAGTGTGCACAATCCACCTCCCCCTCACCCTGCGTACCAGGTTTGTAAGTTAAGACTTAAGATTAGTTTTCCCCAACTGAGATACAGCTGTAGTACTCTGCAAAGTTTTAGGACAAGAATAATGAACCTGCGAAAGCATCACAGTAATGATGCTCATTCCCCCTTTTTGGGGTTATGATAAGAACCAGTGGTCCATCTTTCAAAGGTGAGCAGGGTGTTCATTTCCCAGGTAGCTGGAGCATCAACCTGCAAGGAGGCACACGCGGAAGGCCAACCGGCGGAACCTCCTCGCGGGCTCTGGGGTTGACTGTAAAACCGAGTCCCTGAGCAAACCCTCAGCTGCCAGTGTTGTCATCTGCGAACCACCCCACCTCCAGCCAAAAATGCCCCAAGGCAAAATGTGGGAAGGGAGGGGAAATAAAACACACACACCCAGAATTAATCATTCAGCATCTTTAAAGTAAAGAGCCCTCTTTCACTAACTGTTGGACTGTTTTGGTTTTCCTCCCCCCTGCCACGTGAAGAAGGGAAGATGGAGGTTTGTTGAATTTCCAGAGATAAAAAGTGTCAGCAGT